TTCACCTTATGAATTCCCCACTCCCCTGTTATTCTCAAATACCCATCACCCGTGGAATCTCCTGTCTTAGTAAAATTCACCTTATTCCAAAGAGACAACAAGCCTCCTGAAGCTCCTGTTGATTCCTTCATCACCCAACCAAATTCTCTCGAATCCCATATCATTTTACACAAGTTTTCATCCACCTTTTCTAACTTAGATTCTTGCAAGAATAGAAAATCCGGCTGTTCCATTCTCACCAATTTTCCTACTTCCTTCCTCTTCAACACACTACCCAAGCCCCTAACATTAAAGGATACTAACTTCATTAACTAAAAAAGCCACCCACAACCACTCTGCTAGCTATCCTACCCATTAAACCCGTTACCCCTTTCGTTCCCCTGCTTCCACCCTCTCTTCCAATTCTAATAATCGGGACTGCACTTCCCCTTCATTATCTTGGATTTGAATGCCCAATCTCTTTCCTACACTCATCATCCTCCTCACCTCATGCAAGGTCAGTTCTCTCCGAATTATGCTGTTTCTATTTGCTATACATCCATCAGAAATAGAACAATCAGTCAAAATTACCTTGCTGGCTACACCCAGTGTAAAATCTGCTCTCCTTCTCTGTTTCTGCTTTGTTCCCGATTCTGTCCCCTGCGTCTTTGTTGACCGCAGCTCCACAACATTTTTTGGGTAGCAATCCGCTAAGTGTCTCCGTCATTTGCCCCCTACTTCCTTAGATTCCAGATCTCGGTTCATAGAAGAACCCTCCTCAACCGCCACATTGGGCCCTTTCTTTCCTATTTTTGTCAAGCCTCCTTGTCTATCAACCCTTCCCATGTCACTATTATTTCCCAGCCCAATTTCTTTTTCTCCCTCCGGCCCACTGCTCTTAGATGACCCACACTCCTTGGCCGGCCCACTAACTGCATCTTTTCTGACATCTTTTTTTTCCTCTGTATCTAAACTTTCCATTTCTTCCTCTGTATTTTTGAATTTTGAATTTGCATTGCAGAGGCTTTCCTTCATTAATTGCTCCTCATCAATGCTACCGTCTTCTTCGTCACATCCTTCGAGGTTGATCCAGTCCTGATCTTCCTCATTACTCTGCTCTGAAGAAAACTCCGATTCCGATACTAATACACTCCGCCGGTCACCGTCCGACAGCCACCAGTCTGGGTCAGAGCGCCATTCTTCCTTAGTCACCTGTATCTCATACCATTTTTCTTCTACTTTCAATGCAATCCGTTTAGATATCTTATGCTCTGTATGACAAATGACTAAAATTCTCCCATCACATAAAATTGATCTCGTTGATGTATCTTCATGAATCTTCACCACCTCTCCCACTGATTCTCCAATCATCTTAAAGCATCTATCACTCCAGGCCTTCAAGGGGATACCGGTAATACGTAGCCATGCCATTTTGCTTCGATCCTGAACTTGCTTCTCCCATGATTGAATGTCTTCAAACCACAAAGCAATTAGTTCCTTGTTGTGGTTCATAAATTCAAGAATATATCCCGGTTCATGTTCAGTTAGTAACACCCTCCTTCCCCCTAATGGTGAGATCTTGATTAAACCTCCATCCACATCAATTCTCTGTTGCACTTCTTTTACTAGTGTTAGTGATTTCACAACCGCCACAAAACCCCCTTCAAGCCACTGGTTCTCTTCCTGCTCTGGTGTGAATTTCATGATTTCCTCGTGAGGATTCACCATTCTATTCTCCATCATACAATTTTTGCCATCTAGTATATCACAGGATGCCACTTCCTCCTTCCTGTTCCTTTGCCTCGCTTGAGTTGGTTCCTTTTCCATTTGGTTGATGCCCCTGTCTTCCCCTTCCAGCGATCCTATATCATCCGGCAAGCGTTGTAAACTCTGTGTCTTCCCCTTTACCACCTGGGCATATGATTTTCCTGGCTGTACCAACCTATCATCCCTATGCTGTTTTCTGTCTCCCATAACTTCAGCTTTTGCTCTTGCGTTACTTCTTTCCTCTGCTATCTTCACTTGCAACTTGTATGAACCCAACCAGATATCATTCAGTCTTCTCACCATCTGCTTCTCGTTCTGCACACCTACCATACGCAGAAATCCAAATCTCTTCCCCCACTTGTCGCGCTTCTTTGGTACGTACACATCTACCACTTTTCCACATCTCTGAAATCGGTACCATAACTCTTTCTCCTCACAATTTTCTGGAAAATTTTAAAAGAAGAATGTCTTTGTCTGTCTTACAAGCCTGTGATCTAATCCCGGAATCCACCGCCTGTTCCCCTACCGCTGTTTGGTGCCGCTGACTTCCCTTGTCGCCGCTCCTCTCGCTCTGACCCTCATACTTTCCTCTGATACAGCTATGTCTACCTCTTTGGTCTAGTTAATTCTTATTACTCATAATTATTTGAGCTTTCCAATTCACACCAACTGCTACTGTGGATTTGTCGTTGGAGAGATGAAAAATGCAAATTGCCAAAAAAGTG